TTTTTGACATTAAATTAAAATAATAAGAAAATGAAAAGGGAAAAAGTATTACAGCTTCAACGGTCGAATCAACTAAAGGTGATTGGGCCAATGACCTCTTAGCCTACTGGTCAAGAGTGAGGTACCCATGGTCAGAGGTCATGGGTTCAAACTTCCCGAAGCGTAGATGGTGGAACAATTAATATTGAAGGCTACAAGTAGCAGTGTGGGAGACTGAAACTCGGTGGGAACCAGCGGCTGGATAGGTGGGGCCAGCATGAAGTTGGAGGGGCCAGCATGAAACAACCACTTCGGTGGGACCCTGCGACTGGATAGGTGGGGCCAACTTGGAACTGGGAGGGTCAGTGATAAATCACTTGGGGATCGACTCCTTGTGCGCGGTAGTTGAGGGTGTTAGGAACCTTGGAGTCATTGCATGACTACTGCGATTTAACTGGAGGCAGTTTTTGAAGAGCCGGGAACTGTTTCCTCGAGGAATAGTCAAGCGCAAGTCTGGAACATCGGTATCAAAAAAAAAAGTTGATTGGGTTTGGGGTATAGACTACATAGTCCAGTCAGCAGATTTGATACGTAACATGAATATATACATAATTTATGCGTTTTTTTTAATTTTTTAACGTGTTACTTTTGAATTATTAAATACGGTAAGATTTAATTTAATTAAATTGCATATGATTAAATTATGATGGCTAATTAAAATTTCACATTTATACATTATATAAAATATAAGCTTTGAAATTGAACTTTCATGATAATATCTCTTTATCTCTCTTGTACATATAAACGAGTTAGAGGCCTTATTTATTTTTTATTTTTTTAGTGCAAAAGAAGGAGGCCTAAGGCCTAATAACTAGCTAATACTCAACGAGGATAGGACACTCCTCTGGAGTCGTGATCAATCCAGGCTCCAATCCCCGGGGGGTGACGAAAACTGATGTACCCCCAACGGGGTTGTCTCCGCGATCCCGGCCAAATAATCCGTTGCATAGTTCGCCTCACGGTGCACATGTTGGATACGTACCTGCCACTCTCTTTGGGCCAATTCTCTAACCGCACGAACTAATCCATCATGCACCCCGAAGTTCTGGCCCGATCCAGTGAGCATATTGGTCACGCATTGGCTATGGGTTTCCGCTACAACTTTACGGGCCCCTCGATCCCAAGCCATCTGAAGACCTTGAAGCACCCCCCAAAGCTCGGCTCCTGTAATGGTATTGTAGCCGATATTCATACTAAATCCCTCCATCCATTTTCTTCGCTCGTCTCTCATGATACCTCCCGCACCGCTTAGGCCCGTACTGCTGTTAAACGTTCCATCAGTATTGACTTTGACCCAGTCCGAATTCGGTGGTATCCAATGAATCATGCGAACCTCATATCTCTCAGCTCCGACTTTTTCTGAAAGCTTCACATGCTCTTGCGTACGAATCCGCAATGGAGAGGACCTCAAGCCGTCGGCTTTCACAAGATTTCACCCGAGAATTAAACACTCGGTCATTTCTCCATTTCCAGTTGTTCCATACCGTAATTGCAAACAGACTACTCCAGTCCGGAATCGGCCCAACTCGCCCTGCCGAAATATTACTGTGCATCCATTCTTGAAAAGGGGTTGTGAAGAAATCTGTGAGCTCCCCTGCCGGAATTAAGCAAGTCCAGAGGCGCGCAGTCCCGGGACAGTTCCTCAGAGCATGAATTACCGTCTCCGCTACGCTACAATTCTCGCACAACTCCGAGCTCGAGATATGTCTCCTTACTCGTTCGGCGTTTGTAGTGACCAAAATGTTTATGTATTTATTATTTTCAATTTGTAGTGAATAAATCTATGTTGGTTTACGTGCTTCTAAGAAATACAATGGTCATTACGCACTTGAGTAGGGGCTCGAGTCGAACTCGTTAAGTAAACAGGTTAGATTTTGACTCCTTTATTAATATTAATGAACAGTCACAAAAAACTATATATAAAACAACAACTAATCTCGCTAACAAAACGTGTTTTAAATGAGCCTGCATTTGACGAACTTATCAAATAAATCGAAATGTGTTAACAAACTGCTCGTTTCATTTAACTACTATAGTAGACAACATAGGCCCATTTTATGGTTCAAGTTACTATTTTCATCTCCATGGACATAAAATGATTGGGCTTATATAGACAAATTGGGATGAATAATCTCCGTGGACATAAAATGATTGGGCTCCTTTAACGAAATTGTGATGATTAAGTTTGGGCTCACACATACACACAATTAGATACGCAACTCGTCTATACTTGGGGTGATTTTTAAGCCGGCCTGACATTTTGAGAAAACCCAATGAATTTGAGTAATTTGAATTTGTGGAGTTACGTGACATAAAAGACCAAACAAAATAGAAGCCCCAACACATTAATAATGATAGACTTACCTCTTGTTACATTGCGAGCTCGAAAGTAAAGGCAAGAGCATGTCTAATGATGCCTTGGCCGCGGAGGGAGTCGAGCCGAGCCTAGCGTCGTGTAATATTAGTGTTTTGACACTTTTTGTATTATTAGAGATTTTAATAAACCGACATGTGGTTGTTCTCTTAGATTTATAAAAGTGCGATTCATCAACTTAACTAATGTTTAGTCTTGCTAAAAAAAACCATACAATTACGTAGTCATACTTTTCTAACGAATATCATACTCTAGAAAATAATATACATAAAATTATGATATTTTATAATATAAAAAATACTTTTATAATCAACCGATTGTCTAATTATCAATTCAACATTTACATCATTTACATGTTCGTTAAAAATGTGTTGAGTTTAAGCGGCAGACTTGTATGTTCGGATATTGATATGACAAATTTAGTGCTTTGGTTTGTATACATATTATTCGAATCAAGTTTAATACATGACAATAGAATCAAGTTTAATACTTGACATTATTCAGTTTGATATCATCACATATACAAATTTCAAATTAATTTCATCTATTCTTATAAAAATAGATAAGTTTCTTTACAAAATTAAATTAAAAAATACAAACAAAAATATATATTATCATATAAAGGAAAATAAATTAAGTTTAGATATATTGACCCCCATAAATAATAATTATTTTTAATATAGTAAACAAATGTTGGGATTAAGAATAAACATAGAATGGCTATGAACAAAACTCTAAAACTTGTATCTCCACTTAAATAAAGTATAAAAATGATTGAATGTTATTATGATCTCCGAAATAAAAGATATAATTAAATATCAAATTTAAAAGTAATAAAAAATTATTAATTATAATCCATAAATTCGTAGAATGTTAGGTTGTTAAATATGATTTATATTTTCACTTATCGAATATTATTAGCTAGAACTAGAAGACAAATAAACAAGATAAATAACAAAAATATTACTTCTTCATTTTAATATTTTTTATAATATTTAAAAATATATCTATTGCATCTATGAACGATACATGCAACTCATACCGATTCAAATTTATACAATTGTTTTTTTTTTCTTTTCAAAAACACCAAAAGTATACAATTGAATTGAAAAAAAAAATAAAATAAATTTAGTGGATACAAATATAATTTTGTAAATATAATTATTTTCAATTATACAATTTAAGAGTAAAAAATAGTCATGTTAAATAGTTTATCTTTTTATTTATTTATTTATTATTTACTCTACATTTCATAATTTCTACTCGGTGAACCATAACAACCGAACCAATTAAACAAAAGCAGTTGAAATAACGCGGGAGTCAACCGGGTATAAAAAAAGGGATCCCGTGTTTTAACCCGAACATCGCCTCCGACCCGGAACCCGTTGAAAGATTCTCGATTCATTTCTCTACAATTTGCCCAATTTTCTCGCTGCTCATCCTCTATCGCTTGCGCGCGCACACACACACACACACACACAGAGGGATAAAACCATCTGCAAACCCTACTATGATAATTTAACCTATTTTTTTTTCTCTTTATTGTTAACCTAATTTCCAGCTCTGTGTGTAGAATCGTGTACTTTTTGTTGAGGTTTAACTGGAATGATATAATAATTTATTGATTTAATTGAAATGGGCGATCGATTTTACGGTGATTTGGAAATCGCGCTGTCGTCGTACTCGTTGCCGAGCACCGGTCAGTGTGTGAATCTTTGCATGCGGTGCATATTTTCAGTTTCCAATTTTGAATCTTTATGCTGCTCGGATTTGTTTTTAATTTGGTTGTGTTTTTGTAGATGATTATTACAACGAAGAGGACGGGGAAATGGAAGGAGAGTACGAGGAGGAGGGAGACGATTATGTGGAAATTGACGAGAAATCGAATGAATTGGCTTGCCCGTTTTGTATCGATGATTTTGATGTTCTGGGTTTGTGTTGCCACATTGATGCCGACCACCGCATGGAGGTTAAACCAGGGGTAACTTGAAAATTTCATATTTATAATTTTTCGTTAGCCGTCTGGTTAATCGGATTTGTTTTTGTTAGAAAAATTTGAGTACTAATGTTTAATGTGAAGTTGGGGCATAATGTTTTGGTTAAATTGGTTTTAGAAGACGGTTGAGCAGCATGTTAAGAATGTTATTGAGAATAAAACAGCAGGTTTGCGAAAAAGAAGAGAAAAGCTAGTGTGTTTGGTAGTGATTCATGTAAAGGGTCTTTCACCTTTTAGGAGAAGAAAATTTTTATTGGATTGAAAGCACTTAATTATTGTGTCCATATGGTGAAATTGGTGCATGTAAATTGTCATCGAGCGATGCAGTAGTAGCTTTCTTGAGCTTTCTCGTGTTGAGATAGATGTTTGCATCGTAGTTTTATTTGGAGTTTCTTTTGTTTGCAGATATGTCCCGTTTGTGCTACAAAGGTGGGCATAAACATGGCTTCGCATGTAATAACTCAGCATGAGAGTTTTTTAAAGATATCCTTTTTGGAATGTGTTCGCATGATGGCTATGGCTGTAGCTTGTTAAAGCTTAAAAACCGTACAATTATTTACTTTCTGAACTTGAGTTCAATATATGTTACCTTTAACTTAAAACATACGCTCTCTGCAATAAGAAGCATAGAGGGGCTCGATCGCGTACATCTATATATATGCTAAGGAAAGAAATGCAGGAGAAACATTTACGTTGTATCAAGGAGACTCTCAGTGTAGGTCCTTCCTCTAATACGACATGTGATTCTATGCTATTGTCATTTGTCAATAATAATCCACAAATGACTGGCAAAAGAAGCCAAAGCGTGGAAACTTCTCATACAAATAATGCAAGCTTGGCTGCAACAAGTTCGACAGATGATTACATAGAAAAGAGGTAATGATAAAACGTCTTTCAGGTTTGATTTTTTCTACAGAAATGAAAAACTCATGCTGCTGTGAACTTCATTGGTGGCTACTCTAGTTTTTGTTATTTCTCCTTGGAGTTTGATGCTATCCATTTTGGATGCTATCCATCCAAATCCTTGTGTAGTTGTTAGAATAGCATTTACCGTGCTTATTGAATTGATTAGATCTTTTCCTTCTTATTTTTTCTTACATATTAATGTGTGGGATTATGAATTACGAGAATTGACATCGATACCAAGACTCGATGGCGTGTGTTAGTGTTGTTATGGTGCTCTGTGAGTTCCCACTTGGAGTTTTTATTCTATTCATTTGTTTCATGGCATTTTTCATAATAACGGTTCATTATATTTTCCAAGTGATGATTTAATCGATATTATTTCTATTGATATTGTTCATGAATTTCAGCAAACCACCATCTCTGCCAACTGATGTGGATAACGAGAAGGCGAAAAGGTGCGAGTTTTTGCAGGGTTTACTTCTAACCGCAATTCTGGACGACTTATGAACATATATCATAACCGCACGTACTCTCTCAATGTCGATGATTGATCTGACAGAAGAGCGTTTTCTCTGAACTTTTGGTTTCACCAATAAATTTAGCCAAAATGTAATGCTGCTAGTCTTCATTCTTGCGGTCTTGTTCATCAACTGTCTGTAAATATAGTGATGATGACCGATTGTCAAGTTGTATGTTATCTATTCGTTTTTTGCATAGGAATGATTTGTCGGGACACATTTTTCTCCGAGTTATATATTTTTATTTGTTCAGGTAGTTAACTTTCAACACGATATTATTCGCATAGGAATGATTTGTCGGGAATGGTTTAGCCAAAATGTATTGATTTCTATTAGTAGAATTTTTTATACACAAAACAAGTCCAGGTAGTTAACTTTCAACACGGACATTTAAATTTTACTAGCCAAATTAATGTTGCCTAATAATGGGAGAACGGTCATAAAGTTAACTCAGTTTGATCGTACATATCATATCACTCATAGAGATGCAATACATGCTTTAGATGAAGCACATGAACTAAATTCACGAGGTTAATGAATTGTTAATGTCAATATAGTAATAATAGCATGTAGGGGGTGATACTAAAGTTATTAACCATCATCAAGTTGAATATATATACCCTATCTAAGAATCATTAGATGAGCCAGAAAGCAAACACATAACTAAACAAATCACAACTGATTTTTTTCCAAAAGGAACAAATTATAAAGCTCTATATTTATATAAGCTTTCAGCTATACCATTTCAAAAGTACAGTAATCACAATGTCCTCAAATTTCGTCATTATCACCAATAATTTCTAATTACTGACTTACCACGATCAGCCATTCGACTAGCACACTAATATAACCAAATATTCCAATGTTAACTACTGTCAATCGAGCTGAAGCTTCATCACCATCATCATTATCCTACTTACTCTGCAGGGAAATAGTTTTCTTTCTTTCTTTCTTTCTTCCTTTTCTGCTCGTTCTTCACTTACAAAACTACCGACACTGGACGAGAAAAGCTTAAACAACACTGCACAACAATTTACCTAGGAAGCTAATAGATTTCTCCAATGCATTACTTTCCAGAAAATCTTTTTTTTTTTTTTTTTTTTTACCTTTTCAGTCAAAACGGGCTAACTTTCTCGGATTCAAGAACCAACATGATCATCATCTTCTATGAGAATTGTGGGCACGGAAAAACTGGTAATCAGGTAGCATGACTTCCAAACCGTTGAGCCATTTGTCGGCTGCTTGCAGGAGGGAATTCTCTTGCTCACACTCGTGGGGTCCACTGGGGCTCACGATCGATCCTTTCAACTTGTAAGAGGCGAGAGCAAATACTGGCAACGAAATTTTTGGAGTTGGATCAGCAAAGCCTCGAATATTTCTAGTGTTCGGAGCATGGAATCGAGGGGGGCTGTAGCCTGTATTCAAAAGTCATATAAGGTACAGTTATTATAATCATGAGAGAAAGAGAGAGAGAGAGAGAGAGAGAGAGAGAGAGAGAGAGAGAGATGAGTACTTTTAGGTTGTGTGGACAGAGAATGGAATGTCAAGAAAGATGCATCGAGATCTTGCAGTGTCGGGCCAATGGGTATCCTATAAATCGGATACCTGCAAACAAATAATTTTCGGTTATTTTGATCGCATGAAGAACATAAATTACCCATGACCTCAAGAACACATCAATTGTATAATGAAAAATATCGGGAAAGGGAAACATACCAAGCTACACATATCCAACTAGATGGAAGTAAATCACAGCTTTTGAACTTGCTAAGCTCAGGATATTGCGAAACAAGCAACGATATCTTCACAATCACAGGTGAGAACAATATTGTCAAGCCATAAACATGACAAATAAATGAAATAAATGTATTAAATCAGCAATTTTTTTAAAAATCTTTGTCCAGATTCTACCTTATCAGCCAGTGGTCTACGATTATATGGCTGCTCGTGTTCCAAGAACTGAAACACGGGTTTGCCACGAGAACGAGCAACTTCAGAACCGGATGAGTTTATGACAGATTTATCTCCCAGTGAGAGAGTATTCAATCCCCGCATGGTCGCGCTAAAACTGGATTTAGCTCGCCTGTCTGACTCAGCATCAATTTCCTCATTTACCCCTCTGGACATGCAAAGAAACTGTTAAGTGCAAAGACTTTGTATAGGGGATAAAACAGAAATTTTCTTTAATATTCACTAAAACAACGAAGGCGTGAAAGGAGATTTACCACGACCTGCATTAGTTAAAACAATACCATAATTTATAGAAGAAGAGAATGGCACATAACTCACAATCATGTTGGGAAAATCTTCCTAGCTTAAGCCAGACAACTTGAGGAATAAAATCAACAATATATGAGATGACATCTAATACTATATTGTACCTCTAGGAGCCTGCTACAAAGTTCCATCATCATGTGCAAAAAATTTGCATCGCCATACTTCAGATTTCCCATAACATTATGCATATAATCATAGATCCGACACAAGAAAGTACAATTTCCATGTGATAAAATGATGAATGGCATAAGATTTTTCCGTTCTGTCCCTCCTAGATCATAAATACCCACTAAACATAATTGCACAATTACTTTTATAAATCTGACTGACATAATATTACTTGTTCAAGACAGCATACAAATGATCAAAACTAGACAAAGAATCAGTGAAGATAACAATTTAATAAGAACACCATATAATTAGAATGATCACACTCGCTCATTTCAGCTAAAACTCACCCAAGTCGAGACGCAGGGTTTGAAGGGTCGACGTATAATTCTATGCCTGACAAGAAAGGGACATAATACTGCTCAATTCGGTCTTTCCCATGCAACAATAAAGGTACTCCGGCTCCATAATAACTCCACTCGCTAAAAAATTCCCACAGATCTGCCAAGTGATAAAAAGGAAGTGAATCCACTTCACGCGCTCTCTGGCCTCTTACATTCGCCTGACAAGAAAATAAAGTAGCAAAATTAGCTTTTGTAAACTTTTGTGAAATGGGACCCACAAGCGAACTTGTAGAACCTCTTTTGGAACGACGATTAATGAACTTGCGACAACTATCGCTTTAAAGAATCTTTCAAATAGAACCGGGAACTAATAACTTTTGGAAACTCCCCGTATGACTTCCAAATGGCCGCAGATTAGTAGGATCTCGGGAAAAAATACCCATCACAAGCTTTCAAATGCTGTGGAACAAATATATCAAACAGCCATAGATCAAAGTAAATAACCAATTCTTCCAAATAACTTTAAACCAACGACTTTGCAAAACAATCTTTGGAACGACATCACGAACTTAATGACTTCCTAAACAATATGCCGAACGATTCCCGAGAATAACGGCTTCTGAAATAAATCTTTTAGATGATGAACAGAATTTAACGACTTCTCAAAACAATCTTTTAGACAAAAACAGCAATAACTGAACGATCTTTCAAATGAACCAGTCAACAAAATTTCACAAATTAACTAGCTTGAGAATCAACAAGGAGTTTTCTTGTAACGTTTCTGGAATGCCAATAAATCTAGACCCTTCACGATGATCATCATTTTCTAACATTCTTGCAGATATGATCTAATTCCCTGATAAGATCTGAGAACCACATGCATTTTGAAACCATATATGCAGATATCAAGATCAAGAAATACGAAAATTTTTCATTTAAATTACCCCTGTGTCATACGCAATAATTGATCTTTGTATTAATCAAATCATCAATTCATAGGGAACGACAATGTAAAATTTTATTTCCTGCATGCATTCTCATTCTTCTGCAAACAAATTAGATGTTTAGGGTTTTAATGTTTTATCATCAACAGAATAAAAAATAGACCAAAACAGACAGGAACAGCTTATTTATCGGTGTACCTCCAACGAGCCCCGCGCCTCGATAAACGGAGTAACAGATTCCATCAAGCGATCCAAATTCGTAACTCTCAAAGCCGACCCACGGCCAACGGAAGGCGGCACGGACAATGCCACCTCCGTCGATGAAGCATCAGCGTCGTCCCGAGCCTCAGCCTCTGCAGCCGGGGAATACTCCGGCGTCGGAGCCGTCCTCCTCTGCAGCAGGCGGTGCTGCTGGAGCTGTAGGTGGTGTTGCTGCTGCTGCTGCTGCTGCTGGAGCAGCTGTCTCTGCAACATTTGCTGCTGCTGCTGCAAGAGTGTTTGGTGGTGGTGGTGGCGGCGAAACGCCGGCGGGTTGTAGAACCTGTCGCCTCCCTGCCGCGGCGGCGGCGCCGCCGCATACCCTCCTTTACTCGACATTGAGCCCCTGGATTTTCAACCCCAATTGACTCCCAACACAATCGAAATGTGCGCGTCTATTTATAGATAGATATCGCGTTTCACTCTAGGGATTGAAGTAATTGAGGACTTAATCCAAAATGAGATTGAATTTGAATTGAATTTTGTGAATTGTAAAGAGGTTTTTCAAAGGGGTTTTTCTCGTTTGGTCTGTGTGTGTGTGTGTGTGTGTGTGTGTGTGTTCTTTGGGGTGTGACTGTGTGCGCTTTTACTTTTTTTAGTTGCACTGTTTTGGATTGTTCCTCGACGAGGGGCATTTTGGGGATGAACGGAAAATAGGGGCGATGAGGAGAAAAGACGAAGCCCGATTTTGGGTGACATATGCTTTGCCTTTCGTCCACGTGTAAAATGCTCCCACACGACGTCCGAATGGAGTGGTGCGCATTTACGCAATTACCCCCTTGGGGTAGTTTTCATCACGCGCCATTTGGCTTTTACATGGCCTCCTCGTAGTTGCCGAAAATGCAAAGGGATAAAATTTGATTTATTAGAAAATTAAAGGGAAAAGGCAATAGGAAATTTAATTGGTACAATGTCTATACTAAATTTTCTTTAGTACATATATTTTGTATTGAGAAAATATTTTTACATTGTGCAATTGGATTTTCTATATGTTTCTTGTATTTTTTTTCATAATAGAAGGAAATTTAATTAGTATTCTCACTCTAACACAAATTCTTGTGTGAGACGACCTAATCATTAAGCGAATCGACTCATCATATTTTTTCAACAAAAATCTATATATATATAATTACTAGCCAATAGCATTTAATAAAACCTAATTAATTTTACCTATGTGGCAATTGAATGTTTTTCTCTCCAAAAATCGTTACTTTTTTATGTATTTAATCTTTTATTTAATTATTAAATAATCAATACTAATCACTTCAAAAATACAAAAAATCATTTTAAACTTTTTATTAGTGAC